TACTTCCAATTTTCAAATAAGCCTCTAGCCATAAAAGCGCATACTTGCTGCCCCAAAAACCGTGTTCTTTTCTCGCCATCGTTTTCAAATCCTTGAATTTCATCGAGTGCGGTATAATATTGCAGTCCTTTTTTTATTTTTATTTCATCACAAAGGATAACTGCTTATTTACATTTCTTACTCATTTCACCAACAATTTTCTGAAGGTTTTCTAATAAATAATGTTGAAATAATGGCGTCATATTTTTAAAAAGAGCCCATCGAGACAACGTCCGTTTTGACGGAAGTTTTAAATTTAAAACATCCCGCATATATTCATATGTTCGGGATGAATAAAAGTTTATGTTTTGAGCTATTACTTTTTCTGCGCTGTTGTAAGAATTTGATTTTTTTATCAGAATTTTGCATATAGTTTTTGCCTCTTCAGAAACATCAGGCAATTTATTTATAATGTTAAATATATTTATGCTTTTTTTCTTGCTAATTATCTTATTTTTGTGCTTCATAGCTTTTTTCATTAAAACATTAGCTCTTCTCAATTTCTCTATTTTTTGTTTATACGTTCCTACGCAGCACAAGTTTGTTTCAAAATGGTGCCACGCCCCCTCTGACGCCCACAAGCCACAAGCAGTGGCTTTTATGAAAATTTTAATTGATATGTATTTGTTTCGTCAATACCTATCGATTGGCCTAATAAAAGTTTGCCACGCCCACTCTAACGCCCGAAAACCCAGTAAACGCTTAAGCCTGGCTAGCGTCTACATTTCCGCCTTTCATGGCCCGTGGTACCAATGTTTTGGGGTAGATATTAAGTTGTTTAGCTGAGTAACGGGTATCTAATAGTCAAGGCACTCGGCTATAGCGTTCTCTCTTGTTTTTATTTCTATAAAACATCTCATTTTCTTCCCTTTTTTGGCAATAACAACAATTTCCTAACTGCAGTACACTAGGAGTTACTAAATCAGAAGGGCTAACATATAACTGCACTGCACTAGGAGTTACTAAATTAGCATCTGAATTCGGTGCCTCAAAATTTAAAGGGCTAACATCTAAACTATCGGACAAATTTTGTGACCTTATTGGGTTTACATAAATGCCAATTGGTTCTTCTGCCCCATCATCATTAAATTCAAATTGTTCTCAAGGAACAGAACTGTCCGGACGCAAAAGGAAGTTGTCAGTTAAATTCAAATTGGTCACGGCATTGCTTTTAAGCCTATTTATCCCAATATATTTACTTTCGAAATGTCTATTACAAATACGCGAAGTTCGTCTATTAAAATTGTCATCCAAATTGCATAACTCAACCCATTTTTTAAGTCTCCAATCATCTGATGGAAATGAAAACAACTTAACTGGGAAGGAGTCTGATGAATCCCTATAACTCCCCCTGCAGCACTCTATAATACACCTCCGACCATTTTTCCTAACACTATGCTGATTCATTGCAAAAATTCTTAAAAAAAAATATTTAGATAAGTTAAAATATTTTTATACTTGCGAATTGAAGATTATACAACCACGGTTACTCGGAACAGCAAGACAAGCGTTTTGAAAAAAACACGCTGTATTGTAAATAAAAACTTTAACTTTTTGCACCGTAACCACACTCAAAACAGCAACACAGGCGTTTTGAAAAAAACACGCTGTATTGTAAATTAAATTTTTTAACTTTTTTAATTTATATCTGTTTTTACTGTGAAAATCACCACACAGAAGCACAATCAGAAGCCAATCGAAAGATGCTTGACTTTTTCTATCAAATGGCAACATTTTACGCGCGCAAAGGAAGCTATTTACTAATGCACCCATATGTAAACCAAGTGACAACCAAAAATCAAAAAACAACAAAAAACGCGTGCCAAGTTCATAATCGAAACAAACCAAACAAAAACAATAGAATTGGCGCGCACGTTATAAGTCATCCTATTACGTGCATTGCCAAAAACAACATCTCTCATAGAAATACCAAAGGAAAAAGACAATTAAAATTACACTGCGAAGCTTAAAAAAATAAATCAACCAAAGGTCATTAAACATAACATTCAAAACAAGTGTCCTAAAAAATGTAAACAAAACAAAAGCCAAACAGCCGTTCTTGTTTCTGTCCCCACCCCTAAAATTCAATCGTCGGTAGGGTATGCAGGCACCATCCGCTCGCAGAACAACAACCAAAGCTGATTTGGTTTGAAGTTTTCTGAACCACATAAAAGCAGTCGGTGTTTTTGTGACACCGACTGCGATATGCCCTGTTCGTATCTCAGTAGATTGATTTCTATTAATTGGAATACATACATATATGCAAAACATTTTACTGCTATTACTGATATGAATTTGCAAACCAAAATGAAATTTATGCTGAAATATTAAAAAATATACTGTAACATATAATATTCAAAATAAGAATTAGAACGAGAGCCAAAAAAACCCAAAGGCACACGAAGTGTCCGGGACCTGCCGCTACCAGCTCTGGGGCCTGCCGATTCAAAAATTTTGTGACCATTTTCGATATATGAAATGACCAGTCTATATGTTGTATGGTTAGTAGTCATACATATAAAAGGGGTATTTAAAGAAGTTAAACTCCACAGACAAAAACAAAATATCGCCCTTGATCTACTATCTGCCACATTAAACCGATGACAATTCCAATGCTAAAACTGCAAGGAATTTTACTGGGAGCCAGACTTAGTAAAGCTATTAAAGAAACACTCAACATCAGATTGGACTCCACTTTTATGTGGACGGTTTTAGTAATTGTTTTATATTGGCTCAAAACTAGCAGCAAAAAAAACATTTGTAGCTCAACGTATAGGGGAAATCCAAGAGCCTACTAATTGTCGACATGGGTACATGGCGACATGTACCCTCAAAACTTTATCCTGCAGATAAGGCCACAAAGATATCGTCTTTCGACTTTTCATCAAATGATTTTTGGCTAATAGGTCCAGAATTTTTGAGGAAAAGTAAGAATCAGTGGCCACTAGGAAGAGTCTCTCTTGAGCCAAACTGTGTTAGTGACAGTGACACTAAATTTGTAAATCTCACTATCGATCAAAAGGAGTTATTTACCTGACGTCACAAGATTCTCTAGTCGGATGAGATTGTTAAGAACAACAGCATGCATTCTGCGATACCTAACCAAACTGAGGACAAATCTGAAGACACCTTAAAAAATAAGCTGACCGCCGAAGAACTTTTTAAAGCAGAAACATTAATTTTTGGGAGTATGCAATAGGATAGTTACCAACATTAAATAAACAAACTAAAACGAAGTGAACTTGTAACTACATAAAGCAGTTTATATAATCTATCCTTACTTTAATGCAGTGATAATTTGTTAAGACTCAGGGGGAGACATAATAATTTAAGTGACGACGAAATGAGTAGTGACGCTGAAACTCCAATAATCCTGAGCAAAGATCATCCTACCACAAACTTATTCATTAATTTTTTTCACGTCCAAAATTGTCACATTGGAACTGAAACGGTAATTGCTAATATTCGTCAAAGGTTCTGGATTACAAAATGTCCCAACACCGTCAAAAAAGTCATTCTCAGTCGCCAGCATTGTTTAAAACAAAAAGGACAAACCGCAATTCGGCTGAAGGCGCGGATTTCCTACAGACATACGAGAAATCATAGAAATTGGCCTGATGATGAACTTACGCAGTTTTTAACAACAAAAGGTGGTACATGGTATTTTAATCCGCCTTTATCCCCTCACATGGGAGGAGCCTGGGAAAAGCTTATAAAATCAGTAAAAAAATATTTGGCAGTTTTACTTTTGTTTTGAAAACTCTGTTTTGTTAGATCGAATTTATGATAAACAGTTGGCCTAATTGTCAAGACATATCCATTAAACGATGGTTGAGTACCAATTGTCGATGTAAAGATTAAGAACATTATTTATAAGAGACCCTCTGATAAATTAATTAAACTAGATGTTAAGCCCAAGATATTGTAAAAGCATTGCCGTCGTCTATATTGAAATAAGTAACGATTACAATACTTGGGAGGAGAATGTTGATAATTGTTTATTTAATTTAAAAGCTAACGTATTTTCTAAAATTTAAAATGTATCGAAAAGTGCAACCCCCTTAAATTATAGCAACATATCTAAGAGGTTGCCATTCTTTTCAACTGTACATCATCTTTTTTGACCAAGCGACTTAGAGCACAGTCGACAAGCTCCCGTTTTTTAATAAGTTATATATTAATAAAGCTCTTAAAATTGACATAATTGGTGATTTATTGAACTGACGCCACAAGGAACAAATCACATCGACACGGGTTTGATGGCTTAAATCGGTAATTCGAGCCCCATTTATACTAAAATAAAACCTTTACCCAGGTAACTGGCCCAACATTCTTATTTTAGTAGACTACTGTTGATTAATATACCCTCCCTCGCCAACCATAGAACGGTGCTTGGTGTGTTTTTATTTATTACCTTATTCAAGGTGAGATTGACAGCCCCGACATGGTAAGTCTGCTAAACTTTTCTTTGCCAAGTAGATTGACTAGAAATTATATTACCCTTATATTATAATGATTTAATATTCATTGCAGATCTGCCTTGCATGAGCCTTTCAGAGTATTATGTTCTGACTATAATACCCTCTTTCCTATAATCTCAAATCTTGACTTTCTGCCGCTCCTAAAACGATTAATACTGACTTTATTAGCACAAAATTGATCTTACTTTTTTCCCCTGTACCAGTTAATAGTTAAGTTGATATGATAAGATTTGATACAAAAATGATTAGTCTCGTAAGGAGAAGATTCAATAAGTAAAAACAAGCTTGGTTTTATAGGCAAGCTCCAAATGCTGCTCTAAATACAAAACTCGATCTTTTTGGTGAAACCATCGCGACAAAAAATTGTTTGATAACCAATTTTTTCACACTTAAAGGTTTTTTGTTTTCAATGAAAACAATTTTTTTGTTCTAAATAAAAAGATATAATGTTAAAGTTTTACAAAAGTATATAAAAATTACCTGCCGATATACCCCGCTTGCGCCATCATTCCATTCCTATCATCCATCACTCTTTGCGGTTGATTGTTTACCACTTTTCCATCATCATTACCTTTCCAGGTCCCATCATCTTCTTTGAATGATTGGCTTCTGCAAGTATATTCACATATTATAAGCAAGACTTTTATTTTTTTAAGCTAGTAAAATATAATAAAAGCATAATTTTTATTCCAGTAGGACACCAATAAACTTACATGGTTCTAGTTAATATCTTTAGTCGAGGGCCTCGACTATAGGATACCCTTTACACATAAAAATGCTGCCAGCTGATGGCTCATTTCGAAATTGTTTAGGAAGCGCTATCTATCTATCTATACCACCAACCAAAGCTAAAAGTTTTATCGCTCTCTTCCGCTCTCTCGAATATAAACCACGTTTTTGAAGACGCGGTGGCGTCATTATTAACACTTTATTTGTCCATAATTAGGTAATGGTAAACGGAAAAAGTTTTTTGAAAAACTGATGCATTTTTAATGAGAGCGCAGGGAAATTATTATACATTTTATTTTTTTTAAACAACTATACCGATATAAAATTTTTTCTTTACTGGACATATTGGAGTTTTCAAATAAAATGGTTCACGATTGACCGCGAATTCTAAGACTTTCATGAAAAAGTCATATTTTTCGACGTGTGACCGTGTATACTAGACAATTACCTAGTTTTCTCTAAATTTATAATGTTTATTATTTTGACAAAGATAGAAACCTATTAATATTGCAGCATTTTTGTAGCAATAGCGACCATTTTCAATTTTGCTTACAAGATAACTTTATATGAACGGCACGTTTTTCTAAATGTGAATTCTAAAAAATACTAGTCGAGGATACATTTTTGGAGATTTAGGGAGTTGATAACCGTAACATAGAGTGTAAAAAGGTGGTTAGCACTCATTTAATTAAAGAAGCGAAACGTAGTAAATTATTGTAAGTTTAAATACCATCAGCCAACCTCTTAAAAATCTCATCATACGCAATAGTTACTAAAATTAAATAGACCACATGTTACAAACAACTAGTTTGTAACATGCGGTAACACACTGACAATTAGAAGCTTTCGCTAGCCCCAAATACTATCACGATCAGACCGACACAATGAGGAAACGCATGCTAATGATCGCTTGATCCAACCACTTACCATACAACTTATAGACTACTCATTTCATACAACGAAAAAGGACACAACAATTTCTTTGCGACAGGACCCAGGGCTCTTAGCAGCACGCCCGGGACGCTTCGTGTGAGTTCGGGTTTATTACTTTCTCATTCTTATTCTCATTTTAATGCTCGCGCACTCATTGCACGAGTTCGTTCGTTCAGTAGCAGAGAGGCGCATTTTAAAGTTGCCCTGCACTTGAATTGATCCTTATATGTATGCGTATTCATACATTCTCATTCAGCGGTGCATGTGTGCGTCTTGCAAAAATTTCTTCGATAATGGTTTTGGGTAGATCGATTTGATTAACTTTTTTTTTATGCTTTGCTATTTATTTAATGAAAATTTTCCTTTCGGATACTAACAATAAGTGTATAAAATCTTATAGTAATCTAACTAATAATCATATGACTGGTACTAAGTAATACGGCCCTGAGAATTGTTGCTGGGTGGAAGGTCGTTGATTTGGGTGCACAAGAGTTTTTATTTGTAGGTCGTCTTTTGTTTGTCTATTTCATCATTTACTGCAAGAATGCCGAGGTCTCTGTGTATGTTATGGTTGGCAATATACCACGGTGCACCAGTGATAGTCCTCAGAATTTTCGATTGTGCGCGCTGTATGATGTCAATGTTTCTGCTGCTCTCGTACCCGCATAGCTGGGAGCTATATGTCCAGAGTAGAGTTGTAGAGCAGGACCTTGTAGTGCAGACGCAAGGATGACCGAATGTTTAATATTCAGTGAAAGCTGCTGTTTTTTAGTTTTAGATGTAGTTTCTAGCATTCGATGTGTCTTCTCCAGGTTAGTCATCTGTCGAGGTGGACTCCAAGATACGTTACGTTTATTTATTTTAGTACGCCAATCAGATAGCCACCTCTTAACGACGATGGGGTGATGGGCTAGTTGTGTTGTTGCTCGGCTTGGGCTCCACGAGCGACTTCGGATTGCAGTGTCGTCAGCGAACGTAGATGTTGTTAGCTGCTCGTTTGTAAATCTTACAAGCGGATAAACATCCGCTTTATATAGGACGAACAGAGTAGGCCCAAGTGCGCCTATCGATTGCGGGACTCCAGCTTCGATAATGTAGTCGACAGATGTTGTTCAGACGAACACTTATGATACATTTATTCTGTGACGAAGCGAAGTGGATGCTATTTGGTTGCATACTCTACCTACGGGATCGGCCTAGCTCAGGGAAGAGACAAGGAGGTCGGTTATTTCCTAAACAGCATCACCGCCACACAATAAAACTTGTAGACAGAGTTAGGGAAGGCTAATGGAAGGAGACAGTCAATCCGAATGAATGTAGGAATAGATATCGATAATTTAACCCGGTTGTTAAAGAACTGAGATGGTAATGTTCTTCGGCTACCTGTAAGGACACTTTCATGTTGAATGCCCTTACCCTTGTTAATAAAAAAATAAAAATAAAAATCAGTTTGTTACAATGATTTGCCAACACTGCCTAAAATTCAGGTACCCACATTTTATGGAGACTTATGAGTTATTCAATGAACTCATACATTTAAAAGAGGATCTCAGCCCTACCTTAAAATTCAATTACCTTAAAATCCCACTTAAGGGAGAGGCCAGGAATGTGGTTTCTCCCTTATTGTTAGGATCAGGAAAAAGTATAGGGCCGCTTGGGAATTGTTAACCAGGCGGTATGGAAATAAAAGGAAAATTTTTCCGATCAGCTAATCGCCTTCTTGACCTCCAAAATCTGAAGGTGGAATCAGTTCGGTAATTAAGAATATTTATTGACACTAATAATGAGTCAATTTCTGACGAGGTTGATATAGTTTTTGCACATATAATAATAAGAAAATTTAACAAAGAAGCTCTGCAACTGTATGAGAGCCATGTTAATAAAACTAAAGAAATTTAAATATTACCACGACATTGAATTTCTAGAGCAACGACTCAGTTCGATTAGCTCTGTTCAGGATGAAAAACCTGTAAAAAAAAGTGTTTAGTAACAATAGAAAATAATTGCCTACTACCAGTTGTCCCATGAGCAAAAGTACGGGACATTTGATACTTCAGTATCAAAAATTTAAGGCTCAAAATCCATCTGAAAAGATGGAAAAACTGAAAAGGGCACATTTGTGTTTTAAATGCCTTAAACATTCATTTAATAAGAAGTGTCAAAGTGACATTCCATGTTCAATTTGTAAGAAAAATCATCACAATATGCTACACATTTATGTAAAGTCTAATGAAAAAGTGAATACGTGTATGACGTCAGAACAAGCGTTGCTAGCTACGACACGCGTTCAAATTCAAACCTCTGAGGGAGGTTCTCGGGGAACAATTTCGGTCTCAAACAGCTATCAGTGGAGTATCGTCTACGGGAAAATGCATATCAAAACACAAAATAAATATTTCAATTAAAAGTAATAATTCACAAAAAACGATTCAAGTTGAAGCATTATTAACTTCCAAAATTAAGGGGGTATGGTCTTAAATTTTGTTTGCTTAATAAAAAAAAAAAATTCCGAATACACAACATTTAAAGAATATTGCGTTAAAAGTTAAGATTGATCCGACTAAAGCTTCCGAAGTTATTGACAGTTTAACGTAGGTGAGTCAGCTCGTTTTGTTTGCGATTTTTAGGTGTCCAAAACTTTAAAACGCTCTCCTGAAAAGTTGCAATTTCAAAGTCGGAGTACACGATCCTGCAAAATCTACTGAACGAATCGTTTTGCACACTATTTCTTTACCTAAATCCTCAGGCACACTATTTCTTTACCTAAATCCTCAGGTACTGATGTCGAGTTTTTTTTACTAATTATTTTTATACCCGTTACTCGTAGAGTAAAAGGGTATATTGTATTCGTGCAAAAGTATGTAACAGCTAGAAGGAAGCGTTTCCGACCCTATAAAGTATATATATTCTTGATCAGGGTCACTAGCCGAGTCGATATAGCCATGTCCGTCTGTCCGTCTGTCTGTCTGTCTGTCCGTATGAACGCTGAGATCTCGGAAACTATAAAAGCTAGAAGATTGGCATTTTGCATGCAGATTCTAGGAGTTCCTACTCAGCGCCAGTTTATTTCAAAAAGGTGCCACGCCCCCTTTAACGCCCACAATCGCTTATATACGATTTAAAAAATTTAAATATTTCGGAAAAGTAAAAAATGCAGTTTTATTGTGTTTATCAATACCTATCGAAATGTAGAAGAAATTTTTCAAATCGGACCATTCGTTAAAAAGTTATGCGTGATCAAAGTTTCTATCTCCATCTCCCTCGCACTCCCTTTACCTGAGTAACGGGTATCTGATAGTCGGGGCACCCGACTATAGCGTTCTCTCTTGTTCATTTTATAATAACTAATAAATAATAAATAATTTTTAGGCTAAAATCACGTTTTTGCCTTCAAAATGTTAACAAAAATCCAAAAATTGAATAAAAAAACGTAGTTACCTCTAGAAACATCTTAACTAATAAACAATTTTTTTTAATTTGAGTTATGCTGTTCTTAATCGAGTTATGCTGTTCACCGCAAAAACTTTTTTCTAGGAGGCGCCTACGGAGCTTGGCTGAGAACGGCTCATTTATTTTTTTTTCGATGAAACACAGTTAACACAGTTAATGTTGACAAATCAAAGTGGGAGAAGTACAATTTGGCTGACCCAGACTTTAATAAGCCGGGTCGTGTAGATCTGATAATAATCTATACACTCTATACACTCACATTCTGCAAAATGGAGTGATCAAAATAAATGGCCCCCTCGGTCAAAAAACCGATTTCGGGTGGATTGTCCCTGGATGCAAAAAATCAAAAGGTAAATAGACAATTGTAGCAACTTCAATCGAATTAAAAGATATGGATCGGTATTGGGAAGTCGAGGAAGAAGACAAAAATGATATCGAATCTGAAAAATGTGGGCAGTCAAGAGCAGTCGATGCCCGCTTCGATGTTGAGCTGCGGG